AAAAATAATAATAATAATAATAATATTATAACAGACGCCATGTTTTTAAAAAAGTTGGGAGTGGGGTGGTGATGTAGTTTTGTAATCCAAAAACTCGGAGGCTAGATATAGAGGATGTTTTAGGGGCGGGAGTTTTGGGATTTTCCACGTTGACTAGGAAGAGACAGAATTGTTTCTCGAAGGGTAAAAAGGGGAAGTACCGGGATTTTCCTCGGATGGGATTCCTACCCTTTCTGGTTCAGGCTAAAAACTCCCACGAATGCTCCTCCTTCCAGGAGTTTTAGTTGAGTAGTGGCTTCGGTTGAGTCCCCCCCCCTCATTCTCCCTCCTACAGGATGCAAAATAAATTTCTCCTGGATTAAAAATTAAAATTTTTTTTATTCACGTGACCGAGAATCTTACGTAAGAATTTAAATAAATTATTAATAATTTATATAATTTCCATAAATAATAATAATTAATATCGCAAATAACATTTAACAAAAAAAAAAGAAAATAAAAAATTTTTTTTTATTAACTTTAATTAGTTTATTAAATTATTACTATTATAGAGATATCGACCGGTTATTAATTTTTTTTTAAATAATATTATTTATTTATTTATTTAATAATTTGATTTTAAAACAATTGTTATACGTAAGCGATCGGCCCTATTATTTTTATTTTAAAAAAATAGGTATTCATTGAAAACTTGATTTATAAAAATAACATACATAAAAAAAAATGGGGAGGGGGATATTACGAAATAAATTAATTAATGTCGTTTAATAAATCATTTGTGTGTTTTGTTTCAAGGCTGAGATTTTAAATAAATAAATAAATAAAATTAAATTACGGTATTATTAATCTTTGATGGGGGGGAAAAAAATTGATTTTTTATAATTAAAATTTTTTTTTGTAATATTTGAATTTTCCACAGCCGCCACATTTTTCCGGTAATAATTTAAAAAGAAAATTTTTTTTTTGGGGGGATTGTTCAGTTTGGTATTTAAAAATCGAGTGAAAGTGTAATGGATTTGTTATTTTTCATTCGAGGAAAAGCGGAAAATTTTTATTAAATTACTTAATTGTAATTAATTTTTTTTTTTTTTTTTAATGAAAAATAGGGCAAGGTAAAAAAAAAGTGTAAGTGTGTGTGTGTGTGTGTGTGTGTGCGTGTGTCTGTAATTTTATTTCATTATTTAAAAAAAAAAAATTATATTTATATCTAGTATGGTTTATTGCTATATAAATGTGATTTTATCAGTGGAATAATTACATTTTATTATTATTATTATTATTATTATTATTATTATTATTATTATTATTATTATTATTATTATTATTAAGTAATTCGATTAACCTCACATTTAGTAATTTTTTTTTTTAATTATTAAAAATTCAATTACCCAAAAAAAAAAACTTGAAATTGTAAACAATTGTTTTAAAATTTCCCGCGCGTTCACGTGACTCACCTTTAACACGAACGTATACCACAAAAAAGAAAAATTCTGGAGAAAATTTTTTAAAAAATTATCAAATCGAATTTATCGGTCCTTTGACAGAACGATTTTATTTATTATTATTATTATTGACGATGATGATAATCGAAAAAGAAATTTTTTTTTTTTTCTTATCCGATAAAATAGAAATTAAAAAAAAAAAAAAATTTCATACCTGACATCAAACATCATTTAAATATGAATAGGTATAATTAATCGAAAAAAGAAAAATCTAGAAATTTATAGAATTTGTTATTCGAAATAACCGGATGTTGTTAACGTGACGTAATTAGTTTAATTTAAAAAAAAAAAAACTATAAAAGGCGTGAAAGCATTTAAAACAATAATAATAAATTTGTAGGTCAAATAATTTTTAAATTATCCATTTTGAAAAGTTTTCTATGTGTGTGTGAGTGCGTGTGCGTGCACATAAGACACTCTAAGATTTTAAACCAAAAAGTTTTGAAAAAAGGAAAAACCTTTGCGGAAAACTGCCTAATGTAGATTTTCCATTATTTTGCATTGCTTTATATAAAAAAAATAACCATTCGTTCGTTATTACTATCTCATTATTATTATTATTTTATATATAATTCAGGAATAAATTTCAACGATAAAAAAAATGTAATAATAATAATAATAGTAGAAATCTTTTGTTATGAGTGTAACTCGATTATTATGGCTTGAAAAAAAAAAAAAAAATTAAATAGGCCGCCATCTTAATATATTAAGAAAAAAAAAAACTTTTCATGGCGATCAATAAAAAATTAAAGTAAGCCGCCTATTGATTGATTTTTTTTTTTTTTTTTAACGATTCGATGACACGATCAATTAGGTTACACCTCATCGAAAAAAAAAAATGAACTGAAAACCACACTAAAAAAGTATTTATTATAATCACGTAGAGTTCAAGAACGTAGTTTAAATTAAATAAGGGTCAAAAAAAACGTTTTTTTTTTTTTTTAATTTCATCATGACTATTATTACTATTATTATTATTATTATTATCCTCTATAATATTTTTTATATTTTTTTTTAACTTATTACCTGTCAAAACTTACTTTTTCTAACATTAATAAAATTTAAAAAAAAAAAAAAACACCACGGTAGGAATTCAAATGAATATAACGAAAGGGAAAAAGGAGCAGGAAAAGAAAAATGCGGCAAATGAAATTAACGCGGCAAAATTACGGTATGCGGGTATCCGGTAAAATTACGAACGCGGGCGTTAAATAATCGAATTGTTTCAAAACATTTCATAATCATAAAGGGTTAATTTGAAATTTTTTGATTGGTCGTTTGTTGAGGAGAATATTTGAATTTTTAAAGATGGCCGCCTCGAGGGGAAATTGAAAGAACCGTATAAAAAAAAAAAAAAAACAAAATTTATGCGAATTCTTTTGTTTTATGTTTATAATTAAATTACTCGTTTGTTTTTTTTCGATGCACGTACGATGACGATGATGATAATGATGATGATGATGATGAATTATTCGATTTAAAATATTTAATATGTAAATGTAAGTAAATGATAAATTTAACGGATTAATATATGATGAACGATGAATGGGAAATCGTTGCAACAAATTAACCGTATTAATATTATTTAGTTTTTAAATTTTATTATCATAACTATTCGTTTTTCGTTGGATGCTTTATAAAAAAAGAAATCAATCAATCAATTAATCATTCAGTATTGAATTTTATTCATGTAAACGTTTAAATAATAGATCCCATTAATTTTTTTATTTAAAAAATGTGTTGAACGTTGATTTAGATTACGATTGAAACGTCATCACGAATTTTTTTTTGAAATCCGGACAAAATAATTTAATTATTAATGGAGCAGGAAGAAAAAACATAAAAAACGAGAAATTTAATGTCGACACCCAAATTATGTTGAAGTTGATTTCTTTGTTGGTAACGAGTTCGTGCTGTGGAGTCCTTCGAATTATTAACGGAAAAAATTTTAACGGGTGTCACATTTTCTCCACCCCCTTAAAAGAAAATCGTGATTTGGTAGGTTGATAGGTAGGTTAGTAGGTACACCTCACGACGGAAATTTTATTTTTTCGTTCGAATCGAGTTTAGAAAAAAAAA